GCGACGACTTCACAGATGAAGGTATGTGTTGCACTATTGGCTGCGCTGTCCACCCGCTAACATCAATAGACATGTTCCGATCGCTGCGCCAGTCCAAACTGCCCACTGATCACGTCTTCTCGGTCACGGTTGGCGCCAGCTCGAAGCAGACGCTGGCGAGCTGGCATCTGCTTGAGCCTTCGGATGTCATCTCTGTCATTTCGTTGTTGAACGGATCAGCAGATGCAGGCAATGTTGGCGCGATTGCTGTGGTCGATGGCACGGTCCCGGAGTCTCGAGTAATCGCATGAGGTCATGGTCGGACAATTTCAACTGTAATGGAGCACGGAGCATGGTGAGGCTATAGATCTACGGTATGCGGCATGGCGATCCCGGAATTTTTTGGGCATCAAGTTTTGGAGAAGCAATCAGATCCTATGTCATGGTGGTTCTCGTTGTCCTACGAAAAGAAACGTATCTGTTCTGTGATCGGCCATGCCGATTGCTACCCGGCGGATGAATTGTGCTGCACGAGGATTAGCAATGCGCCCCTGGGACGAGCGTCGGTTGCCAAGGCGGTGGCGCCGGCACGTTCTGGGGTCTCGCCCAAGACCCCTGATTACCACGTGAGACCCTGACTCGAGAACCGGGAACCTCTGGATGCGAACTCTGGGAGTTTCAGGGTTTTGGAGGCTTCGGAGAGGATTCCGCGACGGCTATGCTTACAGATTGCCCAGCTGTCAAGCAAGTAAGCCGCTACACCCCGCAATAAAGAATATCGATGCAAGCAAGCCGCGCAATGGTGAAAGCGGTCCACGACTCACGATGCCGCGACACGGACACGATGGCTTTTCTAGGCCTGGTATGTTTTGGCTTTCGGCTCTACTAACCCCAAATCATGCAACTTGGGATTCGAGAACTGCCCGCGCATGAAACCTGGAACGCCTAGCAACTGTCCCGCCCCAACAACCTATCCGAGGGAAGGCCCTCCTTCCTCTTGGAACTCGCGTACCGTAGTCGTTAATCCCGTCTTTTACCAGCCATCCGTTCCTTTTTCATCACATCGTTCCCCTCCCGCGCCGCATCTCTACACTCGTTTACCCGCTATCTACCCTCGCATAATCTGAGCACCAATCTTACAGGCGTGAAGCGCATTATCATAACATAATTCGAGTACCTGGTCCGACCTCAATCCGATACGGCATCTGCAACAGCGCAGCAGGGAACTAGCCGGCGAACACATTGCGACATCACAACCGTGCCGTATCTGCGATCCGCCTCTCCTTGGTATTCCTTCTTCGACACAGACACAAACACAATATTCCTCGGCGCGCGGCACAACAAACTTCACACAATACACAATGGGTCTCATTGAGAAGATGCAAGCTCGTATGTCTTACCTCGCTTCGTCCCATCTTACCTTAGCCCCGAACCTTCACACCTGCGACAGTAGACTAACAGGAACCCAATCCAGGCCTCGAGCTCTACCGCCTCGAACAGCGTTACACACGTCGCGAGAAGCGCACGACCTTTATCAGCGAAGCGCAATACGTTGACGGCGAGTACGTCTATGCCTCGGCTCCTTCCTCGGCAAACTCGTCCACCACCTCAAGTAGCAAGCGCTTCAGCAAGATGCCTTCTTCTATACGGATAAAGGAACTCAGCCGCATGGGAACTGGACGGTCATAGACGCTTCTCGGGCGAAGCTGCTCCTGTACCTACGGGTCGACGACTATCGATGGATGGACACCTATCTGGTCGGACCAACAGAGAAAAGACAGCGTCATAGCCTATCGAGGAACAACGTGCCATGCATGACACCTTACACGGCATCGCAGCACATGACGTCTACATAGCCTTGAGGACGTCGCACAAGAAAAACACATACCACGCGGAAGCAGAGAAGGAGGACACGCGACGTATCCCCGCAGACACTTCGCAAGCGCAAAACATAATCATTAACGCAACGACATTTACGCCAGAACAACCATCGACGAAAGGGAAATAACGGACTAAAAGTTTCTTCCATCATCATGTCAAGGTTCTTCCATTCTTTACACCCACATTTTCCTTTTCTCTTACCATTATCTATCGAGATTTATCAAGTCATGTTTGCGACACAGTTAGAATACCCCATTGGCTTCCAGAGTAGACCTGGATATGCATCAATACAAGTTTATATGCAATTGGTTGTGTTGGATGATGTTTGGATGATGTGTTGTGTGAAGGTGTTGCGGATGAATTGAATGGTTGCCAAGAGCGTCCTGCAGATGCGTAGGGCGTGCGGACCAGACTGCGCATGAGAGTGGTTGGGAATGGGAAGGTTTGTAGGCGTAAGGCGTGTGGGTGCAAGGCGTGTGCGGATAAGGTAGTATTTGCAAGGACGGGAGTTGTATGTTCACTTCTAGTCGACGCGGACACTACTCATCAGGATGACAGCCTTCCGAAAGCAAGACAGTCAGGACATCAGCAAGTACAGTCAATTGATACCCATCACATTCTCCCCTTACATCTAGTCGACGTACTGGCAACCGGGAACATGTCCACCGATCCCATCGAAAGCACACTACCAACAACTGTTGCTAAACCAATCGACCAAGATCTACCCCCACGAAGCGCCATCGAAGAGAAACACAAGTCACAGATCCATGAGTTCCCGTCCATACTCCCTTCCAACCTTCCACCCATGGACAAAGGAAAACACGCCTGGCTCTTCCTCACCGCAGCCTTCGCCATCGAATTCCTAACCATCGGTCCGTCCCTTCTCAACCTTCCACAGCCACTCTACCATTCTCTCTAACACACCACCCCTAACACGCACTCACCACCCTACAGGCCAATCCTTCTCCTACGGCCGTTTCCAATCCCACTACACCACACACGCCCCCTTTGCCTCCCCCTCCAGCTCCCACTCCCAATCCTCCCAATCCTCCCAATCCTCCTCTTTCGCCGCCGTAATCGGCGTCCTAAACCAATCTCTCATCCTCATCTTCCTCCCCCTCGTCCTCTATCTCGCGCGCCGGAAACCGGGCTTCGCACGCTGGATGGCGATGACGGGTTTACTTGGTTGTGTTGTGTCAAACTTGGCTAGTTCGTTTTGTACTAGCACAAGCCAGCTTGTGTTTACGCAGGGTGTGCTGCAGGGTGTGAGCGGCAGTGTAGCGTTTTGTCCGCTGTTGGTCTTTGCGGAACAGTGGTTCGATAAGAGGCGGGGATTGGCATTTGGGGTTATTGGTGCGGGGGGTGGGTGTGGGGGGTTGATTCTACCTCTTTTGATTAATGCGTTGCTGGATCAAGTGGGATATCAGAGTACAATGCGTGTTTTGGCTGGTGTAATGTTTGGCGCTGGTATGCCGTTGGCGTGGTTTGTTAGACCGAGACTCCCGGTCACGGACAGCGGTAGTGTGGAGAAGAGGTTCTGGAACTGGAAACTCATTTGCTCGAGATCTTTTCTTTTACATCAACTTGCTAATTTTGTTCAGGGCGCGGGGTACTATCTCCCTGGTATTTACCTCCCGTCATTCACCCGCGAGGTGTTTGGGGCTTCAGATTGGTTGGCTACGGTTTCACTCATGTTACTTAATGTGTCCGCTATGGTCGGGCTTACCATCATGGGGTACATGACCGATCGATTTAACTCGCGAGTCTGTATCGCCGTTTCTGCTGCCGGCGCTACGCTCTCTGTCTTTCTCTTCTGGGGCTTGGCCACACACATCGCTGTTCTATACATCTTTTGCATCTTGTTTGGTTTGTTTGCCGGCGGCTTTCCAGCAGCGTGGCCGGCTGTTATGAGGGAGATGGCGAAGAAGGGCGAGTCGAGGGGGATGGGACATGTTGATACCGTCCTCGTATTCTCGCTGTTCTGTCTTGCTAGGGGAATTGGGAATATTGTTGCTGGGCCGATGAGCGAGGCGCTTGTTGGCGGCATGCCTTGGAAAGGAGAGGCGATTGGGGGCTATGGAAGTGGTTATGGTGGACTTGTTGTTTTCTGTGGGCTGAGTTCGCTGGTTAGTGGGATGAATGCGTTGTGGTAGCATTTGATGTAGGATGTAGAAGTCTCCAATTTTGGTAGAGCAACGAGCATGTCTTTCTGGACCAATCACATAGACATGCATGCAATTCAGGATGACTGTTCCAGATTCTGTACGGCTCGTATAAGATTACGCCCGTGTAACGTGCGAGTACACGTCGCTCCACCATCTTAGATCCTGCAGCGTCGTAGCCATAGATCTCTTCGTAGCCCTGTCACCCATCCAGTAACCCTCCCGCATAGCATTCTTCCCGTGATTCTAACCGAACGGCCAAGGATCCAAAGGGGTGTCATAATGCGAAGTTGCCGACGACAGCCTCGATCCCGCTAAGCCTGCATATGTACAGCGTCCTAGCAGTGCAGGGTCACGTAAGCAGGCGAACTACGCCCTCTGAATACCGATCAATCCATACAATAAAAGCTGAAAAAGCAAAAGATGGTGCATTCATTGTCATTGGTGGTGTGCGACTAATCGCGGGTGGGCGGACCAAATATGACCTGCATTGCATGAAGCTGCAACGCTAGTGACAGAGGCAAACCTGTGACCATTGACACCCACGTAGTGACCATGCGAACCGAGGACGATGGGGGGAAATTACTGAAAGTAGATGGTTGTAATGTTGATGGAGTATATTGCGCTAAATAATAAGGACATTGGCGTAGTTTTGCTATCGAGTACGCGTGTGGCTGGCTGCTTGGGGGGTATCATCCGATCTATAGGTATCTTGCGCAAGTGAATGGGAGTGACCCTTGATCTCTCTTCCCTTCTAGGTGATGACTCCGTTTGTTCGAAAGAAAATGATGAAAGAAAATGAAACCCAAATGTGGACCAACGCCGAAATAAAAAATGCCCGCCACCGTAAAACTCCTGGAAATGGAAACCCGTTTGTGAATGTTGCCCTCAAAGGGTCTGAGGTCGTTAAAGTCGTAATGTTCGAGGCGGCCATGCGCTCTCGAATAGGGATAGGCGAGTGCGATGCGGAGCTGTGTACTAAACGTTGTTGTCGTAGTCGCTGAGGATGTCCTCTGGATCCTCCGGTGGAAGCATGTCGATGGTGTCGCTTGTGCGCGGGCCGGTGTATTTCTTCCTTGCACCCGCATACCACCAGATGGTGCTAAATAGGCCAATGAAGGCTGCCACACAGATAGCGTAGTTCATGTTGTCGGCTCTGACAGGCTTGACCGTCGGGAAGAACAACACAACACTGATGAAGATGACCCATGTCACTGCAATCGCATTGACAGGCTTGCTCCATCTGCCCATTGTGTATGGTCCAGGGTGGAAAGTGACAGTGTTCTCGTACCATCGGTGTGCAATGATGACTGCGATGTAACTGATGTCCAAGGCCGGGGCGGTGATGTTGAAGATAGCCGTAATGGTAAGGGTGCTTCCGATGCCGATTAGGTCGAGGCAGCTGCAGAAAAGCACAACAAGCCATACCGCATTGACCGGAGTGTGCGTGTAGGAATTGATCTTGCTCCAGAAACTATGCAAAGTCAGCACCCCTCAATACTAGCGCCGACTGGAAGCGGAAACTCACCCCGAGAATGGGAAGGCTGCGTCGCGGGAGAAAGCCCAAGCCATTCTAGCATTTGCCAACATGGCGGAGCAGCCGGTGAAGAACTGGACCAACATGACGAAGAACCACATGATAGTTCCACCTGTTTTGCCGCCGGCGTTGAAGAAGATCTGGGCCACTGGCAGACCGGTCGGCGTCGCCATAATCGCATCGTAGTCTGACATGCAGAAGCAGAAGGTGACGGTTAGCATCCAACCGACGACGCCGGAGACGAGGATCGCAGCGCGGATCGCTACAGGGCCGCGAATAGCGGCATCGTGGGTCTCTTCCGACATGCTGTGTAACGCTGATTAGATTGGCTCATGTGCGGAGTCGTAGGGCTGACTTACTGTGTCGTGCCGTCGTAGTCAGTCATCGTCCATGCAACGGAAAGGAAGCTGGGACTCGTCAGTGGTCTGGGCCTATGCGAGTGCTGGTTTGGACCTACCCAAGGAGGAATGAAAAACCCTTGCTTCCCCAGCCTGAGCCGTCCATGACTGTTGTGAACACCCATTGTGGGCTTTGCTTGTTCGGTGTGAGAATGAGAAGAGCGATGCAGATGCAGATTGATGCGATGACTATTTGCTGTCAGACGGCGGTCAACACGAATCCTTCGTCGACGTACTGTTGATAGGGGCGAACCACAAGATAATGCGGTGAAGCCAATTCGTGGGAAACGAGCAGATTGTGCCAAACATGCACAACACGAAAATAGCGAGAAGGACGGTCTGATATGCTTGCCTGCATTGATCGGTAAGCTGCTGCAGGTGATCCAAGTGGGGTGATTCTTACGGCGTAAAAGCAGACTCTCCATTGTCTAGCGTGTGCATGACAACCGTCGCCAATATCATCTGGGAGATTGTATACGCCAGACTTGCAACGCCGGCGGCTTGTCCAAGGAAGTTGCACCAACCGATGATCCACGCCCAGGCTGCAACGTGTTCAGGTGGTACAACGTGTTTTGTGACATAGTACATGCCTCCCGCTGTCGGATATGCTGAGACCAGTTCGGCAACTTGACGAGAGTTAGCTAAGACTCTTCTATGCATGTTGCAAACGTACCTGAACTTGCTATACAGTATGCCATGATGCTGCCAATGAACCAAGCCCATACTGCTGTTGCTGGGCCACCTGAGCTCATTGGTGCACCAAAGGTAGCGGGCACTGAGCCCAGTACTCCTAGAATCGAAATGGCATATGAAACTGTAGACCATCTCGAGAAATGTCTTTGTAGAACCTGCGGAGACTGTTGGAAGATGGTCAAGTGAATGACTTGGAGCGCTTACAGGAGTGTATCCAATGCGCACAAGTAGGCGGTCGTCGTCGTCCGCGATAGTTGCCATGATGCTTCGGTTCTGGTTATGCCCTGCTTCTGCTGCTTTCGATTGACTGGAGACGGTAGGTTGGAGCGCTCGTGGCTCACTCGGTCCCAATTCTTTGGAGTCTGGATTGAAGCCCATGGTTAATACCGGTGATCAACAAACGAGCATGAGAAGTTGAAGAGAAACAAGAAGGGTCTCGGCGACGGAAGCGTAGAAGGAATTTAGAAGGGTGTAAAAGACGGTGGGCCGTCAGCGGAGACACACTAGGAGGATTGACAGCCACGGCGTGGATCCACAAACCCAGCTACCAGGGAGTCGATACTGGATGTGGAAAGGGTACGTGGTCGGGTGAATGATGTAGGGGCATGGGAGACATGTCCACGGGTAGTGGCTATATGAATAACCTGACTAAAGGAAAAGCCAACCGTGCGACCAACGGGTGCCCAAAACGGTCCAGTAGTATCAAGTTGCGAGATGCGACCTACATTCAGGGTAGTAATTTTACAGCGTTTGCCATGATGACACGTGCGGAGTGTGTTGCTAGAGGCGTGAACGTGGGAAAGAGCAAGTAAGGAGTGGGACGACAGGGTGCGAAAACGCAGCCAATCGCAAACAATCAGCCTCTTTTCGCAGACGGGCAGATCCTGGAGTCGCTGAAGCGATTGTGGGTTTACGGTACTGTCATTTGCGCACGAAGACTGGTGCCGAACGTTTGAAGGAAGTAGCGTGCTGGGGCCAAGAAGAGTGGTGCCGCTTCGGCGACCCAAGGTGGCGGGCCGTTTACTCTGCATTTCTGACTGGGGTATACTCAGCCCTGGGAACAATATGTAACCCACCTCATGAGACGCTTGTGACGCCTGTCGAAGCGGCATGGATGAGCTTCTTGATAGCTGACTGTCGATGTTTAGCCGATGTCCACGGGTGTCGCGAGGCACGGTAGATTACTCAACGGCGTCAACGCGCCTCAGCGAGGAGCCCTTACTCAATGTCCGGGCAGGAAACTGCCGCGGTCTAACACATTCTTTGGAGCTATGACGCGCGCAGATGGAAGTGCGGCTTGCCTTGCGTGAGCTCACGAGCGGTACGACTCGGGTGTTACTACGGTCTGCCTGTAACCGGTACCCCCTGACTGTTCGTAAGAAAACTTCGTCCAGGCGGTGAGGAGGAAGATCTCTATTGGTCCGCGCGGCTATTTTGATACGACGTACCTTCGCCGAGGGACAGATCTGACGAGCATGATATCAGGGAATTTTGTAAGCTTCTGGCTGGGCTCTCAAGGAACGCAGACTTCGGAGTCGCTCCATGAACCGCGGCGGGAGCTTTCATCCGAAACCTTGATCCCTGACCCTCAACTGAAACGTCGGCCATGATTTACTCGGGATCCGTATACTCGACAATATACTTTAAGAACGAGAGTCTCGTCGACAGCTTATCAGAAATCAGTCCCGCGCTGTGTCATCTTGCCTAGACGAGTAGCATAAGCGACACCCGCGGACATGCCTGCGACGGCACACATGCCACAACCAATGCACATGTAACACGAACCTGACCAGATCGTCCACGGAGATTTGCTTCTCATTACCATTGCGCTGGGCCTCTTGCACCTTTCAAACCGTGCCTTAGTCGCGCGCCTTGGTGCGCGCCACATATCTTTCAAGGGCCCGATGACACAGCAGCACGGATCGTCTTTCTGCAACCAGCCACGACGAAGCATGGATCAGGAGCGTCGCCTAAGTATGCACATGGCCAGGTGATCATGATGATGGTACCAAGGCCAGGATATGGAATACTCGCTAGACGTCTAGGAGTGTTGGCAAGATCCGAAAGAGCGGTGGAAGCTCGCGGCTATTCACCCATCGACTAATTCCAGGGTCTTCCTGTTCGACTAAGTCCGCCTGGCACGGAGTTGAGCACGAAGCAGAGCCGTTGGACAAATTACCTGAATCCCTGGTCTTTAACGTTTGTCAAGCGTTCACGGCTACGACGGAAGACGATGCGTCGTAAGATGAAGATCCTCCAAGGCTCTGCGATGAAATATACCGACCGATATCGCTTGCAGCTGCCTCATCGATCATCACAGACGACATGGGTGCATCGTCATTCTGTTTCGGGCTGTCGGGCGTGTTAGCACTCGAAGGTTAGCTTGGACGGCGCAGATGTGAGTCGGGGACATGGTTGGGGGAGTTAGTGATTTAGTAATTACTAAGTATTACTAAATTAGTAATACTAAGTAAAAAAAAGTTAGTAATTACTAACACTAACTTCTTACTAATAGTTAGTAATTACTAACTAGTAATTACTAATTTAGTAATACTTAGTAATTACTAAATTACTAATTAGTAATTACAAACTTAGAGATTTTTATTTTTCTTACTTTATAGTATATATTTAAGTATAGCTACTATATATAATAGTATCTCTAATACTTTAAGTTTTATAAGTATATATATATAATAGATATATTATTTATATATTTTATCTATAGTATATAGCTTATATAGTTCTATAAAGTAATAATAATAAAAAAATAATATTAAAATCTTTTTAAAGCTTTATATTTAAATAACTAGACTAAGTAATATATTATTACTTTTAGTAAAAAGTTAATAGTTTATTCTATTACTTAGTATATTAATAAAGATAGTAATTATATAGTATATTATTATATTAGTTATAAAAGTAGTAGTTTAAAACTTTAGATAGAGTATTTTAGTACTAGTAAATAGTTATATATCTTATAGCTTAGTAGTTTAATATATATATAGCTCTAGAAAAGAGTATAAGTACTATATAGTAATTAGCTAAAACTAAAATATATAATTAATAAATAGTTAGATTATAATCTATATATAGTATAAAAAGATATAAATATTAATCTAAAAATAAACTTTTAATAAAGCTTAGAAATATTAAAATAAATATAATTATATATATAGCTTTACTAGTAGAGTTATATTATTAAGTATATATAAATAGTAGAAAGTAAGTTTAGCTTAAAGTATAGTTTAGATTAAAAGTTTTAGTTTAGACTAGTATACTTTATATAAGCTTTTCTTAAACTAAAAGCTATTAAACTATTAAATTTTAATTTACTATTAAAGTATAAATTAAATAAGAAAGAGAGTATATAGTATATAGTAAGTAACTAAAGTCTAGATATATATAAAATATAAATAGTACTAGAAGTATTTAGTAACTAAAGTATAAAAAAAAGTAGATAATAGTCTTAGTTTAAACTTATAAAGAAACTAAATAGTTTAAAAATAGATATAGTAAATTATATAGTAGTAATAAAGTTTTTAATAGTAAGAGTATATAGAGTATACTTAAAAAGAAAGTTAATAAAAGAGATAATATATTTAAATATTATCTAAAGTTTAAAGTAAAAAGATATAGCTAAGTTCTATAAAGTTACTAGCTATTATAAAAATAACGTATAAGTATACGTTAATAGTAGACTCTACTAAGCTAAATACTAAAGGTATTAAAAGAAAAGAAAAAAGTAAGTATAGATACTATTAAATAAGTAAACTTATTAAATTATAAAAAGTTTATTAAATATATAAAAGTATAACGTATTTATAAGTATTTATAGTAATAGATATAAATACTAATAAGTAATAAGAAACTTATATATTAAAAAGATTTACTAGATATAAGATAATAATATTTAGATATATATATAAAGTAATAGTTAGTACTTAAAAATTAAGTTAATATAGTTAGATTAAAATAATAAAACAAAAATAGTATATAAGTAATAATTAATAGTATTTAGCTTCTTAGTATTATAGTAAGTAGATATTTTAGTTAAGTAATAATATAAGTAACTAGTAGTATAGTAAACTACTAATAAAGTAAAATAGTAATTAAGTAAAGTATTAAGCTTTATATAAGAAATAGCTATATTATATATACTAAATTAGTTTTATTACTATCTATTAGTCTAGTTAGTATAGTTAGATAAAAAAGAATAAATAAATAAAAGTATATAAGAAAATCTAATAGTATTAACTAATCTATATAAAGCTTTATCTATCTAATACTACCTAAAAGAAAAAAAAGAAAAAAGAAAGAAAATAGAAAACTATATAAGCTATATCTTAGTCTATAATAGTACTATTACTAGAACTACTACTATAATTAGATTCTAGATCTAGATCTATATTATCGTTAATCTCTAGTTCTTCTAGACTTATACTATTCTACGATTTTAAACAAAGTAATTGTTTAATAGTATTAGGTAATAATCTATTTCTAGCTTTAGTTACTACACTACTAGCTTTACTAAATTCGCTTTCGCTAGCACTAGAAGAAGAAGAAATAGCTAAATAGTCTCTAGCTATATTATATAAGATAGGAAACTTTTATTTATTAGCGTTATAGTAATCTATTATACTTATATTTTGCGAAATTACTTCTTCTTCTAGATAGATCTCTAGCTCTTCTTTAGGTATAGTTATACTATTATCTTTATAAAACTCGTTATCGCTACTATAATCTATATCTAGATTAGAAGCTTCTATATCTATATCTATACTATTATTATTATTATTATTATTAGTATTAAAGATATAATTATTTCTATATTTAAAGTATATACTATATAATAAGTCTTTTATTAGTTCTATTATATCTTCGCTATAACTAAGAGTTTTAAAGATATTAAGCTTAAATTGCGGATTTAGTGTAGTTATTATATATAAATCTTTTACTTTAGTATTAATTACTCTAGTATCTTTAATAGGATAATACTCTAGTAATTTATTTATAGCTTCTTTAATAGCTACTTCTATAAATATATTATAGTTAATATTAGTAGTATTATTTCTAGTAATATCTTCTAGTTTAGTAAGAAGTCTAGTTATATACGGTATTACTAAATAGCTAGTAGAATAACTAGTTGCTTAAAATTTAATAGTAGGTTTTCTAAATATCTCTAGAGTATCTCTAATATATATTAAATAATTCTACTCTACTTCTGTAATATTAAATCTATCTATTTTAAAGTTTTTTCTTCTATTAGTAGGCTCTTCTTTAGCCTTAGTTAATAAAGTATTTATTTCTTCTTTAAAATAGATAAATCTATCTAGCATATTATATATAGATAGCTACCTAGTAGTATTATCTTTAACTAG